ACACACACACACAACACACACACACACAAAAGATGTGTTACACGTACAAACTCCCAGATAACTTTAATCATACATTATTAATAAAATATCCATTAAAAACTTTTAAAAGATAGAGGGGGAATGAGAGACGTGAAGACGATGAAAAACAGAATTAAGATGCGTTATGCATATATACCAAGTCCCCATGAGGAATATAATCATTTTTAGCAGTAAATTTGTGCAAACATGAATTGATCAATTTTTTTTTTTAAGGAAGTAGCTGGGGTAGGAGCTTGAGGAGCAGTTACAGAGACATAGAAGATCCGGGGGATATGTCCGCTATGTGTTCACTCTCCTGACTGCAGTCATAGTTTCAAGGGTGTCAAAACATGTGAAACGACACAATTCAGATATGTGCATTTTATTCTTTCAATTATATACCAATAAAGCTTCATAAATATGTATGATATGTATATGCATATATGGAACTATGTCCTGATGTAATAAACAAAAGGGGAAATTCTAGAATGTCACATATAGTTTGCTTTCATATTTTGGGGGAAAAAGCCTAGTAAGAGAAGTTTTAAAATCCTCAGTTCTTACTATGGTAGCAAATAACCATCCAGACACACTTCACAGAAGTGATGTCGCCGTGTTTAACACCGTGCGACTATCCCTCTCGATGTTTAGGAAGGTCCTGTGCAAGTACTGTGTATAGATAAAGGGGTGCACTTGTAGGGCAGGGAAGGTTTTGGAAACTGGCGCTGCCACCTCTGTTTGCAGAAGACCACTCACTGTCCAGACAAGCGGCCACGGAGGCTCAGCAGAGGACTTAATTGAAACACCCCACTCGCTCGCTAATGCGCCCGGGAACCCCTGGTGCCTAAAGGCGTCATTTGGTAGCCAGGGAACGCGTGGGGGCGCGGGCGGGGGGCGAGCGCGCGGGGCCTTGTGGGCGGTGAGAGCCGCACGCATGCGCACAGGGGCGAGGGTCCGCCGCGCCCCCCGCCCCCGGCCCGCAGGACGCGCCGAGCCGCGCGCTCTCCAGCGCTTCTTCCGGGAGCGGGCGGCACGGCCGGGCTGCAGCCGGTGCGGTGCGTGGACGCCGGAGCGCGCGTAGATGAGTTGTTCTGTGTTTAAAGGTAGCGTCTCCTTTGTGGGGAAAGTTCTACCTCTGGGGTTCGCGGAGAGGGCCGCGGGGGAGGGGAGGGGAGGTGCGGGTGTGGGGCGAGGGGGCGTGACGCGCCTCGTGGCCCGCGGGCGACCCCGCGCCTGGGGGAGGGGGTCCCCGGCCCGGAGTTAGGTTCTGCTGGAGCTCGGGTCCCGTGCGGGCTGTGAGCTCCGGGGTGCGCTCTTTACGTTGTTTGTCTTCCCGCAGTGACGGGTCCCCCACCTGTGCCTCCCCGCGGGTAAGCCAGGAAGGGGTTCGTTTCCCCTACCGTCTCCAGCCCGTCTTTACTGTGTTGTTTCTGATACACCTGACTGCTGAAAAGCGCTGAGTGTTAGAGACTACTGCGTTGGCACGACTTCTTGGAGTACTATATAGATGAATAATACAGTGTCATGTAAGAGTTCGTATTTGCTGCCAGGAAATGTTGAAAAGCACGCTCTGACCTTTTCTGTGAATGGAAGGAATCAATATGCTTTCGGGGGCTCTGGTTTTTGTGTTTGGTAGGTGTAACTTAAATAAATGAATAAAAACTTTTCCCAAATTTTGAAATTGGAAAATAAATTATATTTTCTCCCAGAAAAATATTGCAAGTGAGTCCATAAATCATTTCTGTTAATTGTTAGACCCTGAGAGTCCTCTGTAATAAGGTAGCTTCTGCCCAGAATGCTTCGCTGCCAAGGGCCCGCCTTTTTCTTTCAGAGTCTGGAGCAGAGGTTGGGGAGTGAAGCAGAAGAGCTGCCTCTCTGAGTTCCCTCTCACCGCATTCAGGTATTTTAACAGATTGCCCACTTCAGGGCCCATGCACCCCTTTCCTTGCATCTCACAAGGTGTTTTCAATCCAAGTATGTTTGGTAAGCCTCAGTCTTCATATGAGTTACTTCAGAATAAGCATAACCTATTCTGAAATAAAAAGCTTTCACTCTTAAGTAAAAATGTCTTAATATCAAAAAGAGGGTTGAGAGACTGTAGAAAATTGGTAGTTACTCATAAAAACGTGAAAATACCAAAAAGATAGCAAGCACTGTTTTAGGAAAGGGTTGTGTGATGTCAGTGTTCCTTATCGTTTCTCCCCTTCACTCTGTTTTGTTTGATTTGGGTATTTTTCAAAATCTGTAGCTTTTAGACTTAGAAGGGAATGTGGAGGTCATGTGGGCTGCAGAGAACATAAACGCCTTTTTGCAGCATTGTAACAAATTGTTTTGTCCTGTGCTTGGATTATACTTAGTGGGAGGAGGTATTGTTTCTTAGCACAACTGATTGTTTTGCTAAAAAGCCATGTGTTTTAAAGCACTGTATTTGAGAGAAAGTCATCATCTTTCTTTTTAGAATATGCTTCTCCTGGTATTGCACCAGTGTCCGGGCTTCTAGACCCCTTAGCAATCTGCTTTCCCAGCATGCCGTTTTAGAAAGTGGATTAAATAGTGGACATATTTGTTCATTTTCTTCTTGCTACTTCTAACAGATTAAGCTAGCTGTGGAAAAATAGGTTTGAATCTTTATTTTGTTATCTGTAGCATTTACATATTATCTCTGTTGTTAATTGAAAACTTTGGAGCTTTTAAGTATCTTTTGTGTAAGAAGCACTTGGTAATGATTCTTAAGACAGTTGCTTCCATTGCTGCTCCTGGATGGCTTTGAATGTTCCAGTAGTCTGCCATCTGCTCAATAATTTTTCCCTCTAGTATGTGGGAGATTTCTTAGACACTTGTAGAGAACCTGATTCACATGGTCACCATATTAGTAAACAAATCAAAAAGAATTTGGGTCAAGGTAGTCAGCATAGCTCTTAAGTGAACTTGAGTTATCACAGTTTCCTGTTATGTCAGGATGTATGTTTCATGCTGTAGAATTGTGCTAAGTGCCCAGCTCACTTACTATTCCCTTTTCAGAAGTTTGGTTTATAATTTTGTTACAGGGATGATATCGGAGCCTCCAAATAATAAGGAAATTTTCCAAAACATAAGGGAAATGTAATTCCCAACCTGTTAGATGTCTGATATGCTAAGTTTGTATTCTTTAAAAATTGAAGAATGAATGCTAGAGACAATGAATTAAGAATAAAAAGGTATTTATTGACAGACAGATACAGCTCTGGAGAGACAGGAGGGGATATGAATGGGTTGCCTGAGGACCTGACTGTATAGGGATATTTTACAGAGGAAAAGCCACATGGGTAAAATATGGCTTATGGCTATATTATAAATGTAGCTGCTTAGGTAATACTGATCCATTGCAGAAACAAGTCATGTACTGAGTGGACATGGAAAGATCAAAGAACTTCTAGGAAATATGAGTTCAAAGGTCTTGGTCACCCACTGGGGTGATTGATGTCTGTCTAGGCTTCATGGGGCCTGTTTTGTCCTTTGAGGAAGTATACAGGCCGGGTTGTTTCATCTTTATCTTGAGAGTTGATCTCCAGCAGTGGTGTCCCTGGCCACAGTTGAGATGGGTTTCACCATTGTTCTGGCTTTCTTCAGGGCCCATTCCTGTCTGACTACCTGTAATATTTCTGCCTAGCTTAGCTGTCTCTTATAATTTGACAGGATCTTGTATTCTGCTTTGTCCTCTGCCAGCCTTCATAATTCCAGATAGTAACTCTAAGGCAGCAGTGAAGTTCCTTCAGTAACTAGGGAAGTAATCCATTTGATCCTGAACATTAATGACCTGATCTGAGAATAGGTATTAGAACACCATCAGGCTGAGGTAGCAATTTCTTATTTATATGTCTTTACCAAGTTATGTCAGTAATCTCTAGCATAAAGAATGACCTAGAATATATAAACAACAATAACAACAAAAAATTAGACCCTCTCCCAAATAAAAGACCCAATTAAAAAATGGGCAACTTAAATGAATAAATACTTCTCAGAAGTACAAATGGCCAATAAATGCATGAAAACAAAATGTTCATCCTCAGGCCATCAAAAAATGCAAATTAAAACTATATTGAAATACCATCTTACCCCAGAAAGAATACATATCATCAAAAAAATTAATAATCACAAATGCTGGAGAGGATGTGGGGAAAAGGAACTATACTGCATTGGTGGGAATGTGATAATTTATGTACAGTGGAGTACTATGCTACTATAAAGAATGATAAACTTGATGCATTTGTAGGTGAGTGCAACTCAAGAATAATGTTAGGTGTAATAAATTAGATGTATAAGCTAAAAAAAGACATGATTTCTCTTATATGAGAAAGACAAGCCACAAAATAGAAGAAAGACAAATAGAAAATAGGGAGTTCAAATACCCAAATTACAAATTCCATTGTTTTAAAAATATTTCAGTATATATGCCAGTTGATTTCACTTATAGTACTAGTTTATCTTAGTTCATTACCAGTAAAGACAGGCATGCGCCGCCATGCCCAGTCTCAATTGCTATCTCAGCATGCCCCAGAGGTGGGGCCGGTATGGCAGGCTGGGGATTGAACCCCAGGCCCCTGCATCTGCCTAAACAGG